TTTTTGATTTACTCCTCCTGGTTAAAAAACAAAGTATAGAATGCGTAGTTTTTCACAATATTGAAATAAATGAAAAAAGTCTCTTTTTTTTTGCTTAAATGTCATGACTTCGAAATCTAATAGATAATACGCTTTTTCTATTGACTTTCTCAGATATTCCAGTTAAAAAAATAGCACCCGGTAAGTTTTCGATTTTTCAAGTAATTTTTCGGCTTTGCTTCATGGGGTAATAAACTATAAACAACTTATAAATTTAATTTAATTTAATTTAATTATTTATTTTTTTGGATAAAAAGAATACAAAAAACCAGTAATTGTTGATGTAGATAAGTGACTTAATTAATTTATACAGTTGTATAATAGTTGTATTATTGTTTATTTAATATTTAGCTATATCCCTAACTTATGCCTCTCAGTTTAGTTTTGTATATCTACTGTAAACTTTTTGAGTTTCCGTTTTAAAATCAAGAAGAAAAATTTATTAAAAAATTTAGAAGAAGAAATTGTTGCATAATGGTTACTTGACTTCAATAGTAAAATGTCATGAATATATAAATAAGAATAACTACCTAGATGAAAGATGATATGCCATTGTTAAGAGAGATTAAAGTGATAGTTCTAAACGCTGAACACTATTTTCGCCATTGCAAACTAGCACAATTATTTTTGTATACGAGAGTTTTAAAATTAACTAATTGTTCCTTAGCTTTGTCTATTCAAAAATATTTTGCAATATTTACGGTGGATAGTAATCATTGTTGACTATCGTTTTATTAGTATTATTGCAATTATGTTGAGCATTGATATAATGATGGCAAGTTTAAATTGTTTTATTGACAAGATTTGGTTTATTGATCAATTTCTTTACGAAAAACTAAATGCGTCTATTTTTAGAATTCTAAAATATCTAAATAGAAATAGAAATTAAATGTATTTAACACAGCTAGAAGAAAATAGGAGCTACTGAATTTATTGTCAAAAAAGACAAAAAATTCATACCAATTTGGTGGCGTAGGAAACAATTTTTACACTAATTTTACACTAAAAATAGGGAAAGAAAAAAATAAAATTACTTTTATATATCGTGAACAAACTGGTAAAGCAGCGAATGTGCGAAATTGACGTATCTGAGCTAATAGACTAAACAGCTGTGGCTTGTCAAGATGTATATTCCTGTAAAACAGCGAATGTGCAGGTCCAATATTTACGTCATTGTTCACAATTTTTAGTTTAACAAATCTACACCTGTTTTACAATTCACAACGATAAGCCGTCGAATATCCATATTCGATAGGTAAACAAGCAAATGTGCCACATTCGCACTTTCATGAAAGTGTATTACAACCATTCCAAAACGTCAAAATAACGAAAGTGGCATATTATTTTGGAATTTTGACTATAATTGGAACTTATATGGCAAAGTGAGGCTTTTAATCTTAGTAGTGTAACTTTAATCTTGTGGTAAGTCGAATTTATTTATTATTTATTTACAGCAACCTAATGATAATGTTGGTCTTGAAATACTGGCTAGAAGTAATGATCCCAGTGATAGGCCTACTATTAATGATAACCACAACAAAGCACAAAATCAGAATCATTTATCGCCAAAAGACGCTCTAGCCGAGTCCAGTTAATATAGTCAATAGTCAAGTAAATATTTAACTAATGTACTGACAGAAAAAAAAAACAACGGCAGTTTCTAATAAAAAACGTTACTGTGCAACCAAAATCAAGAAAAGTGACATAAGCAGTGGGGTCACGAGCAGAGTTAATGTGTGTAGAGAATTTTTTCTCGATACGTTAAATATTTCAAAGTCGCTTATAATAGGAACTCTTAAAAAGGTTAACTAGTGGAATTTTGATATCTAACCGACGAGGGAATACAGATTCACCAAATAAAGTAAACACTATAAATAAAAAATTCATAAGATATCACATTTTATCGTTCCCAAGAATGTGACCACCTATACAAGGAAGAAAAATCACAATACCAATATTTAGCCAGTGACGTAAATTTAACAATTATGCACAACTTGTATAAATAAAAGTGCATTGAAGAAAACAAAAATCCAGTATCTTTAGATACTGGATTTTTTTTTCTTCAATGCACTTTCTTCAATTTTTCAGTATCTTTAGATACTTTAGAAAAGTAAAGACGAATTTTTCGTGAGTACAAACTGAACTTTCACAAAACTGCTAGATCGTTGTAAGAAATGCATTGCTCATGAAGAGCAAAAAGGAGATACAAACTATGATGATACTCTGAGATACTATTCTGAGCATATTAAACGCAATAAAGCAGGACGAAAAATTAGAGATCAAGAGAAAGATGATGATATAAAGGACCAAGAAAGTGTTTTGGCAATACAATCAGATCTCAAAACCATTCTGAACAGTGAACACACGAAAAGGAGCTAGTGGACCATTTTTCTACGTCAGAAAATTGTCTGTATACAACCTTATTATTTACAATCTTAATGACGCCAGTGTTACCTTTTGTGTCTGAAACTGACAGTGGCAATAAAAAATATATCCAGTTACCCTAAAAAAAAGCCATTTGGTTTAAGTACCTGTCAACTCATCCAGAAGCTGTATTTGTAAGGACGAGTTACTCAGATGACGCACCCTTTGTAAAGTACATTGCAAAACAGATGAAAAACAAACGGGGAAGACCTCCTAATAAATCTCCAATAAAACCTTACAAATCGAGGTTCCCAATTGCTACCAAAAAACTACAAGACCTTCAAAAGCTTTATAAGGATCTTTAAATACCACGTGTTATACCATGATTTCTAAACAAATCTTTTTTTCTCATAACAACTAATCCAATAATCTTATAAATTTTAAAGCAAAATTATAAAATAGTTTAGCGTTTTATTAAATTTTGTTCAATCTTAAAGTTCTCTATTCTATTCACACACCTCATAAGAAAACCAATCAATAGGTGATACATAAGTACATTTTCCTTTAACTCAAATGGAGATTCGCTATTTTTTATAGCCTAACATTCTAACAATAGTCACTTAGTAAATTAACGAATGTGACTTTTTCAGTGACTATGGTTACTTAGGCTATTTTCATTATTAACCTTTTTTAGGTATTTTTTAAGGTTTGCAGATCAGGTGTATAAAGACAAATAATATTACAAATAGATTTTTAGTCGAAGCCCAAAATGTTTTTTAGCTCTCCTAAAAAATAGCGACTGTGCACATTCGCTACCTTACCAATTTGGTCACGATATAGTCTGCTATGAATTACTGCAATAAAGGAGAGACATTAATTACTGAAAGGTTTTTTGATGTACAATACTTCAACATAAATTGTAACCATTTAAGGCATGAGATTTGTTAATAATTTTTATTAATAAACAAATTGGTGTAAAAATGTACTTTTTCGCGTTTTTCTTTGATTATTGAAACAGATAAGGTTTTGAGAATTTATTGATGTAGGCATCTTTTAGAGCATGCAAAAAGCTTTAAACTGAAGATTTGTAAACATTTGTATACCTATTTGTTGTTTACATAAACGCAAAAAAAGTTTTGCATTTATTACATGTAATATAGAATAAAAATTTCAAAGCAATTTGTTAAATTGTTTAGGTATTTACTTCATTTTCTTTATCCCAAAAAGATGTTTTTCCAATAACATAAGTCAGAAAACAATGCAGTTAGAACAATTTTTGGGTTACCAAATGAACTGGTAACACTTATTTCTTGAAAATAGTGACAAAAATTGAAGAAAAAGGATATTTATTTTTGAAAAACAGTTTTTACAAAATTGGCTAATTTTTTACTTATAAGCAAATGGAATAACTTTTTGGTTACTGTTCGTAAAAAAATATTATTAAATATTTAGAAAGCGTATATTTTTTTACAAATTAAAACAAAAAAATTATTATAAAATGTCAAATAGGGCCAAAGTTAGCCAAATGTTTTTAAAAATTCACAGCCTATTTGTTTATAACAACACAGGGATTGTAATTTGCCCCATTTTATTTTTGAATAGTCAAACTTAATGTGAAAAAAATTTGGCACTATTTGCACTTTAAAGTTAGTCAATTTTTTTTTAATTCTCAGCTCATTTGTTTATACCAATAAAGGGATGTAATTTGTGCCATTTTAACTTTAAATATTCAAACTTTATGTAAAAAAAAATGGGTTAACTTTCACTTCAAGGGTCGTCGGTAAACTTTCAAAAATGATAAACAAACGCTGACCTATTGGAAGGCAACTGGAAGTATTTTATTCGTACGTTCCAAAAATAATATTTTCAGTCGCTTATATCTCCGGAACAGCTCGATGGATTTTATCGGTTTTTGTTTTAATTTATATCTAGTTTTCGCGTACTGTACGAATATGCAATTTGTTTACTACTAAATTATTTATTTAACCGTAGTAAAACGACTTTATTATTTATTTCTGATGATAAACAAGCTTGTTTTTATTTAACATTATAAACGTCTCTTAAAAATGTAGGTTATTGGGTATAGAATGCCGCCCATCAAATATAACGATCCAATTTTACAAAATCTCAATTTGTTGTGAATTAAAAGGGCTTCAACCTAATGCAATAAAACTTATTATAAATCATTTAAAAAAATATGGCCGTTTTGATAAAGTATCGTTTTTATCGTACTTTAAACATACCGTAAACTTAGAAAAGCTTAATTTAAAGCTTGTCCAATACACTTTTATAATTGTATGGCTTTTATATTTTGTAAAGTCACGTATGTTGGTATTGCAACAATCTAAATCGAAAAGTGCACATTATACGGCTTCAAAGTCTCGTAAAAAAATGATAACCAACAATTTGCTGTTGTACGGACTAGGGATTATTTCTGAGATCGCCCTTTATAACACAGAGTAAGTTTCAAAAATTCACTAATTAATGATAAATTTTTCATAGTTCATTTTTTTGCAGCATTTATTTAAAACTAACTTTTCTGTTGTACTTGGAATAAAGTAGTTCTCGATTTAAAAAATATTTCTTTTTTTACTTACCTACAGAAAATATTGCCATAATAGCAAAAGTCGAAGTAAAATAAGGCACAACTGATTTTGTATTTTTCTCTAATTCGTGGTCTAACGTTCGTGAAGAAAATCGGGCAATTCGGATATGTTTAAATCTGTTTTCTTTGTCTTGAATTTTTTCGATAAGGTCTAAAAAGCCATCTTCCCACACAGCGCCACTAAAAAAAATAAATATTATTGTAAGTTAATATTATAGTTAATAGATTTTAAATTTCTACCAAACTCCATCTAGTTTCCTACCCAATTTCAAAGACTGAAAAGAAGCTTTCTTGGCAAACACGTTCTTTATATATTAAAGTTACAACTAAATAGACATTTTTAACTTAGTTTATATTTACATTAGATTTGTATCACGTAACCTATAGACGAACTATAATGGCTGGATCTGTATGAAAGACCAAACTAAAAAAAATAGAAATGAAGACATACATATATATATATATATATATATATATATATATATATATGTATATAATATAATACGAACAGAAGACAAGCAATGGCCAAGACAGGCCTTAAAATATGTTCCATGAAATAGAAGAAGGATAAGAGCATATGAGGATAAGCAATGAAAGAAAATGTAATAGAAAACTGAAAACACTATAAGAAAACAAGAAAATCATTGATTATTGGAAAGAAGCAAGTTGCCCTTACAAACAAAAACACCAGAATTACAGGCAGAAATAAAATAATACAACTCGTGACTAAATTCTACAGCGAACTATACAAAGCCCCTGAAAAACTTAAAGAACCAATCTGTAACCAAGAAGATGTTCCAGAAGTCCTTTCGCAAGAAGAAGAATCGACTATTGCAAAATATATGAGATACAGCAAACATAAATCATTTTTATAAGAAAGGTGGCAAGGAGGATATTAAAAACTGTATAAGTCTAATACCAACCATATACAAGATATTCACAAATATCATCAAAAACAGCTTAACAAATGCATTAGATGCTGCACAGGCAACAGAGCAGGCCTGGTTCAGAAGTGGATTCAGTGCCATAGATCATATCAATGCCATTTGAGAACTAATGAGCAGAGCTAAAGAATCTAAAATACCGCTAACATTAACCTTCATAAATTTCAAAAAGGCTTTCGATTCTATACATCCAAAGGCAGTAATCAAAGCTTTGACCAACCAAGGCATTGACAAACCGTACATAGAAACTTTAGCAATATATACAGATAAGCTTAAGCTTAGGTAAAAATTAATGAAAACACTAAAGAATTTCCCACTACCAGAGGCAATCAACTAGGAGTCTCTGAGGGTTCTATTTATTTTTATCAACCACCACAGATGTGATAAGTGCCCAGAATCCCGTAGAGCCAAATTTTCTTTACAGGTTCCAGATTTTATTGCCTAATACCAGTAGGTATTGTTAATCTTTTCTAAGCACGTTTCTGTCTATCTGTGAGATTTGACAATCAATTTTCTGGAAGTTAACCACCGGTAGTTTTTGGCAGTAAACTAACTTTTCATCTATTCTTCCTCTTATGGTACCCTATCCAATTAGTGGATGTTGGCGACAATTCTGGCATACTCCTCCCAATCTTGTGTGGCTCTAAAGAGTGAATGGGCATCGAGATTTGCCCAATCCCTTATGTTTTTAAGCCATAAGTATTTCTTTCTTCCGATTCCCCGTTTGTTTTCTATCTTCCTGTCCATAATAAGCTTTAAGAACTGGTACTTGGAATTTCGAAATATATGACCCAGATAAGCAGTTTTTCTTCTTTTTATCATTGGCAGCAATTCTCGTTGGTATTGAAACATATAGCATAATGGCAACTTGTTGAAATAAAGAAGGCAAACTGCCCATTATAAAAATTTCCTTATGTAAAGTTCAATTTGAAAAATCATATTCTTTTTCCAACCTTTACTGACAAAAGTAACATTCGATGCTATGACAATTGAATTGTAAGAAGAAATACTACGCTCAGGCAAGTAAGAAATTACAAACATGACAACATCTTTAGAACTTTAGAACTTTAGAACCAGAATTTGAAGTAACGTGGCCCATAATTCTACTTACTAAGTATTGTGGAAAAATACTACTAATTTAAATACTAATTATTTATAAAATATAAAATTATAAATATTTTTACAATTTTTGGAGATGACGATGACGAGAACTTAATAAGGGAAAATATTATTATTGTAAGACTAGTTGAATGTTTTCTTCCAGAATATAAATATCTAGGCTTACACATAACTGAAGACGGAACATTCGACAAGGCAATAAAAAAAAAAGAAATACGCAGGAAAGACTCTCTATACAATCTCGATCAAGCCATCTCTATACAGCCATATCTTCTAGAAGTATCATTTGAGACCAGAACATTTGAACAAAAAAAAAATAAAAAAAGGATCTATGGAAGTGAAGTATGGTAGATCAAAGATAAAACAGAAAAGATAATTACAGCTAGAGAGATCGATTTCTGGAGAAGAGACATAATGGATGTGGAACACTCATTATTAGACGTTAAAAAAATAAAAAAAATTGTTTGTTACGGCCACGTACAAAGCATGAACGATAGAATGACTACCAAAGGAGATTTTGTAATGGTCAAGAAGAGGAAAAAAAGGAGGGAAGACCTAGGAAATGTTGACAATGGCAAAGTAGGTTGGCAAAGTAGGTTGGCAAAGTAGCTGCTACAGCTACTATTTTATTTTTACTTCGTTTTTTATTTATTTTGTTTTTATTCTTTTAGTTTATATTTCAGAGATTTTAAAAGAAAAGGTTTATTTACGCAGCATACAATACTTGATATGATTGTTGATATATGGAAATATTCAAAACTAATGACTTCAAATAATTAGGTAAAACTTATTCCGAAAATTTTTAAAACTTATCAAAACTAAATCATAAATTAGATACTTTTTGATATTATTTTTTCATTAAACTACTTACATTTGATCATACTTTTTAGTATCAGCATTACCAAAATAGACCAGTTGTACAGAGGGTACGCTAATTATAAGTCCATCCTCACTGACTTCTGAACCGCCAAAAAACACAGGAAAAGCATGAGCGTCCCAAGTCACAGGATTAAACATCAAGGGGAAAGTCAAATTGAGAGTTTTCTTTTCTACCTGTAACAATAAAGTACAAATGAATACGAGGAAACAATTGACATTGATTAAAAAATTTAATAAACAAGGAGATATTAATATCAAAACACTTGTTCTAAAACCCTTTCCTTATCGTATTTGAGTTTTATGGAATATTTCGTCGGGAATAAACCAAAATAATTATAGTATAATTATACTTGTAAAAATGAAAACATTTTTAAGTTGTTACAACAGAATGTGAAAGGCTATTGGAGGATTACAAACAAATAGAAGAAGAATAAATTGTCACATACAAAATTCAATTGATAATTGTTTTATATATTTTACTAAAATCTAATTTATTAATACATTTTAATTTAATATTTTTTGTTCTTATTATTGTTGTCACTCAAAATTTGTTTAGAGGAAAAGACATAAAATCGAGTTTTTTAAGGTATGTAAATATAACTATTTTTGTCTACTTTCTTACTAGTAAATTGTATATTACCTACTATTTGGATGCTATTATGCTATTACGCTATAAATAATACGCTATAAAAATGTGTAATATCACATAAGCCTTGTAAGTCAGTTGGTCGAGTTACCATGGAAACGAATTAACAGACGTTATTTTGACAGAATAAAAATTATTAATTTGTCAGTGTAAATAAAGTGGTAATTTAAATACAGATAAATAAAATGAGTTTATATAATATTGAAGATGAACTTAGTAGCACACCACCCAATATAGTGCAGTTACCTGCGAGCACTACCGAGAACCTATTACCAGAAAAATCTAGAGGAAGATATAAAAAGGTATATCAGCAATTTATGGATTGGCGTACAACAAATAATCTAAATTCATTTTCAGAAAACGTACTCTTGGCTTATTTTGGAGAAATTGCTAAGAAATTTAAACCATTCTCATTACGGGCAATATATTCTATGCTAAGAAGTGTTATAACTTTGAAAAATAATGTTAATATTAAAAATTACCAGAAATTGCAAGCTTATCTAAAAAGGCAATCAGAAGATTTTAAAAACAAACAATCTGAAATTTTACATCCTGATGAAATAAAACTTTTTTAAATGGAGCTCCTGATGTACAGTACTTGTTAATAAAGGTATGTTATTTAAAAGTATAACATAAATGTGCCTACTTATAATACTTGTATTTTAAGGTTATTGCAATTATTGGAATATGTGGAGCTTGTAGGAAACAAAAGGTAAAAAATCTTAAAATTTGTGACATTGATGATTTAAGTACCATATTATTGGTTAAACTTCCTGATACGAAAACCAAAATATATAGATCTTTCGTTATTTCCGGAAATTTCTATCAATTCTGCAAACAATATATAGAAATTCGACTACAATTTAGCGATCTGCAAATAAATCAATTTTTTCTCAATTATTTGAGAGCTGGTATGATTAGCTGTTATGATGAGCTGGAGAGAAACAGCTGGTAGGATTAAACAAAATAGGTGGTATTCCAAAACAAATAGCCGCATATTTAAAGTTACCAGATCCCAAAATATACACAGGTCACTGTTTAAGACAAACTTCTGCCATTATTTTGGTACATGCCGGTGGTGATTTAATGGCTCTTAAATGACATGGCGGATGGAAATCTTCAACAACGGCCGAAGGATATGTTGATGAGTCAATAAATAATAAGACAGCCAATGGAGTTATAAATTCAATTGAAAGTAATTTACATACCTTTACATACACTTTAAACACCAATGTTCACAAAAAACACATACAGTTTACGTCCTCTCACCATTCACCACGTATTATTCAACAACCGCCAAACTCGGAAAAGGGTATAGTTATCTATAGATATAGAAGTGTATCTGACAGAAGCTGATCCAGTAAAATATTGTAAGTCTTATTTTTCTACTTGTATTTCAAGAGTCACTGTTCAGGCCAGAACGAGAGATTCAGTTTATCGAGAGAAGAGGCTAGCATCATTTGAACGATACGTGAATTTGAAGGAGATCATTAAAGACGATAGGCTCGCAATAATTTGTTGTAAGCTTGCTGATTACCTAGGGAACTGCTAAAAATAGATAGTGTAGGCTACAAGGAACAAGGATTTGGACAACTCATCATCAGAGAGATAGTTTTACCATTCGTCAGTTTTTCTTTATTAACAACATATTTTTTTAACCATTGGTTTAGAAAAGATAGAAATATTTTGATCAGGAGATTTAGAATAAAAATTTTAATTTGAAATTTTAATTTATATTGTATATACCATTAATTTTTGAGGGTTCACGTACGTAGAACAAAATTTTGATAATCACCATATAAGATATTTTTTATTGAAGATATTTGAGTGTGCATTTAATTTTAATATATAATGTTGTATCATACATGTTTTTATTATTCCGGTATTCTTTGGACCTTACCTATCGTATGTAAAGCATAGATATTAAAGCAGGAGTATAACCCTGAGATAAGAAAATTAAATAGTGTGATAGAATTATAATTGCATCATTTAAATAAGTTTAATTAATTATTTATTTAGCTAATTATTTGCTTGGCCCACCTAAGACTTTTAATGTTACATTAATATATATATCAAAGGGGTTCATACATGTGTCGCTGTCTCCCTTCACTCAACCATTTTCTCCATTCTTCTTTGTTCTACCATTCTGCGTCTTCCAATCCTCTTCTTTCCATGGCTTTATCTACCTCATCTCTGAAAGATCTTCTTGGTCTGCCTCTTTTGCGTTTTCCTATGGACCTCCATGTTATTTTTGCTATCCATCGGTTTGGGTCTATTCGTCTAACATGTGCGTACCACGTTAATCTTTTTTCTTCAATGTAATTTAAGGTGTCTTTCTTTATCTCCATTCGTCTTTTGATTTCGTCGTTAGTTATTTTGTCCATTTTGTCCATTCTGGAAACTCTGCAGCTTCTTCTCCAGTAGTCCATTTATGTGGCGTTTATTTTATTTCTGCTGCTTTTGTTTAAAACCCAATTTTTTGCTCCATATATTAGAATGCTGCGAACCACCGTGTTATTATATTATATTATACATAAATTATACATATTATACATAAATTCTTTTTCTGTTATTTTATGTTATGTGCCTGTCCCATAGGATTGGATTCAGTTATCTTATAGAGTTTCTGGTTTGACCCACTCGATTTTTAATTTCTTCTTCTGTAGTACCTTTATTTGATATAATGAACCCCAGGTGTTTAAATTTATCGGTCCTCTTTATTTCACGCCCGTCATTCACTTCCAGGTTTCTTGTTGGTTCTTGTGTTGTGTTCAGATATTCTGTTTTGGTAATGTTTATTTCCAGACGATTTATATTATATTCTTCTTCTAGTTTTCAAATCATATAACTTAGGTACTCCTCGTGTTGTGATGACCTGCTCGTCGGCGAAACTGAGAGTATACAGATGGTCGTTCCTTATGGGTACTCCCATTCCCTCACATTTTCTTTTCCATGGCTTTAGGGCGTATTGAAGAAATATTTTAAAGGGTGTAGGTGAGGCCGAGCAGCCCTGTAGGAGACCTTTCCTGGTTTTAAATGGTTTTCCAAACTACAGAATATTATATAATGATAACTTAAAATCTATTAAAGATTTTCCCAGACATCATAATTAGAAAAATATTCAGTTCTAGGAAAAATACATTTTTATCATAAAACATTTCAGATCATACGAGTACTCTTGAGTCCATCCATAATCTTTTATGTAATAAAACAGAGTTTAAATGAACAAATAAATGTGAGGCAACCTTTATTCGAATTGAAGAATATCTCTGACAGAGTTGAAATTTGTCAATTTTTGACCCACAAAAGAGAACGTTTTTATTTACAGATGCTAGTGCTTTAGGAGTTGGAGCGGTTTTGAAACAGATACGAGACAATGGTCAGTTGCTCCCAGTGGTCTATTTTTTAAAGAAATTCACGCTATCAAAAGTAAGAAAAGTATTCTCACTATGGCCTTATTGGAATTGGTCATATGATAGCAAAGATTCGGCCTTTTTATTACTTTAAACATATGGATGCAGTTAAACAGAACAAACAGTTAAACAGAATTTTGTAAACAATGTGATATTTGCAAGAAAAATAAATCAAGAAAAAGCTGAGACATTGGTCGTCTATCACATTTAGAGCCAGAAAAAAAACGATATGAAATTATGTCGCTTGACGCCATTGGTGGATTTGAGAGAGAAAGAAAAAAAAGCCTGGTCATGTACAGGATCAATCCAACATATCCCCGTATAGTTTTATACATATTTCCGATCACGATATAATGTATAATGTATAAACACTAACTGTAAAATTTGCATTTTAAAGTTATTACTAATTATTAAAGGTACTAATTTAAATTAAAATAAATAAAGTTTAATTTTATATTTAAATAACTGGCTATCCGTATTTTTATTAAATCATATTCTGTAAAAGGTCACTGAACAAAAGAGTATTATGTAATAGATTTTAAATATTTCAATTTGTAGAAATCTAGATAATACAGAATAACCCACTTCTTAAAAGTTAATAAAAACTTTAAAATTATATCAGTCACAGACGTCGGTCGTGACTGTCTAAAGAAAACGCCGGATATAATAAAAATTATAACATTAAAAACAAACGTTGATTACTTAACTTCCTCAATGACCCTGTGGTTATAATATTCTTTGTCCTACTGTTGATCGCTATTGGTTCACACTTTGCTTATTTCTTTTATTATACTTTAAGAGCTGACGAATTGTTTTTAAGAATTTCTTAGTTAAGTGGTTGTTTTATGACTAACGAACTTAATATATGATACGTGAATATATTTGATATATGATATTTGCAGGATTATTCCACGTTTCCAGTACTAATTAAAATATTTTTCTTGGAACACAAACTAAAAACTTGAAAGAAAAAATAGTAAAGAACGGGAATAGTCAGAGTGATTGCATAGGATCACCAGGAGAAAGCTACAAATGTATACACTAAAGCAAGCCCTGAGATTAAGTTCGGAAAAATGGGTTCATGGCAGCAGAAGAGGAGACGTAAGGGGTATATT